CAACTGAAAAAATATCTATACATTTTTGCATTTTTCTTCATTTAGGCAAATAAAAAGTATCTATTATTATATATAGCTGAAAAGGTAAAAAAAAATTCTATTCAACGGGATGGCCAAATACAGGGAGTTCTATTAAAAAAAACCTATGTTTATGTAATATCGGAAAAACTGTGCGATTTGTAAAAAATCTGAGTACGCCACTGGCTTTCTAATAAAAAATAGAACAAATAATGCGCACACTTTTTTCTTCTAAATTGAATGACAACGGAGATAGAGAGGTTAACGTAAATGGCCCATTTTTCAAAAAACCCTGTATATCTAAAACTAATCAAGTTAGCCAAGATCTTTTGGGACCAGCGAAGTAAACTCAAAAAAAGAGGACGGGACATCGATATCAGATTTTTTGTATAGTTCAAAATATCGGCATCAAGGCTACTCTAATAATTATGTTGCAATTTTACTACGGCACAGGTTGAATGAACAATTTCACGTACTTATTTCTGACCCGCGTTTCAAGAAGTTCTGCCCGTTCATCTGTTTCTTTTTCGAATTTAATATTCGTCCTACTCCGCGTGAAGCGCGCACGACCGGACTTTGGTTGTTATAAAAACTAGAGATCTGAGTGTGTTCCTACACGATACAGGATGGTATAAAATTTCCTAGCCAAGGATACTGGGACACAACAATAAATATGTATTTTATTAAGGTGTCTTATTTGAATGCTACAGTATTTTCAGATTTATTCGCGGCAACTTGTGCTCAAGTCATAGTAGCGTCTTTAGCAATTGCTATGCTAGAATTCATATTTTCACGGTTTGATATATCTATTGATGGATTGTTATTCCTAAGGGGAAATAGAAATATTTCTTTTTGATTATCCGAAACTATTTGCGGACAGTATTCGATGTTTGCGATACTTGACTATCTAATCTATGTTTTCTGTTCCGACCAAAATTCTTGGTTTCTTGCCCTGCTTGTTTTTTCAGAGTATCTATCTGTTTTTCTAGGAGTTTTTTATTCTCCTTAATTAAGACGTTATTCTCCCTTAATTCCCGGATGAGTTCCTTTAAATAAGTATTTTCATCCTTGAGTCTATTTACTAAAGAGTCATTCATTATTACTGATTCACTATTGTTGAAAATTTATCGGTTCATGTTTTGGGTAGGAACATTGCAGAATTTACATTACGTAGTTTGTGTATCTGTTATCGTCTATCACAGAATTGACATAAATCGGAGCATTCCAGAATTACACCTGATTCCATATCCCTTACCCTCCTCCTATAATAAAATCTTCGTCTAGGTCAATAACACGATTCATTTTAATACAGAACGCGTCTCTGTGGTACTGCGAGTACGTTTGCTGGATTAATGCTATTTGCTCTAACTAGCAATGGACACTCGGAAAACATTAAACCTAATGAGTAAATAAACTTACCGTGATTAAGTTTTATTAGAGGCAAGCGGCGTCATTAATTTTATTATTTTTTTATGGTCATGAAAAAGGATAATACTACAATCGGCGATTATTTGGGGTTTCGAATACTTATTTTTATGTGTGTTACCGCGCATGTGCCATGTAATGTATCGCTTTGTCCGACCGTGTGGTCAGCCGTTGTTGAGTTGTTGATTTGTTCAGTTGTCGCAGTTGGTGGCAGTCTGAACGTAATATATGTTCTTTGAAAAATATTGTGTATTTTTCTTTTGAATCAACAACAATAGGTATAAAGAAGACCAGCATAAAAAAGACGAAGGAAACATTGGTCCATGCGAGCCAGAATGGTTCTTTATTTATGAATTTGAAGTGGAGATATCACATTCCAAGTTGTGTTCTGAACAGCGCCGACAGTGGGTACAGCCGGCGAAGCTGCTCAAACAGGTGACGTCGTAATAAGGGGAGCAAGAAGTTTGGTATGTACATCGTCCCATTATCTTTGCATACGCCGTTTCAACGCCGTTCAGCGGGTGAAGCTACATTGCCGTACTTAACAGTGCGCGGGTGAATTCTAGGGAAATTATTGTTGCATGTCTTCATCTATAAAGTTATTGTTCACTGTTAATAATTTGTATTAATAGTTGCATAATATTTAATGTATGTAGAAAATTAAGGTATTTGATTTGCAAGGTATTTGCTTCAATTGGGACTGTTATTAGGCAGTTTTATGAGTAAAATGGCTGAAAAACAAGCATTAGTGTCTAAACGTGGCACAATAAAGGCAAGCATTACGCGAATTGAAAAGTTTATTGATCAAGTTGATGAAAATATTACAGTAAACAATTTAAAAAGCAGATTAGCACATTTAGAACAACTTTATGAGAAATATGATGAAATACAAATGAACTTGGAGGTTTTCGATGAGTCAGAATTTGGTGATGATCGCGAAATTGTTGAAAACTGATTTNTATAGTATAACGTACAATAAGTGTAGTGTATTGTACAATAACTGTAAATGTGTGACCATTATAGTGAAGTGATAGTAGGCAATAGTGTATACTGTACAGAGTGTCTCATAATTAGTGTGCAATACTTTAGCATTCTATGATCAAAATTAAGATTAATTTTCCTATAAACAAAGGTTCAAAAATGCTCCCTACGGGAGCTACGCCCCTCTAACAGGGGCCTCAGGAGATCATCAACGTATCATTATGAATTTTTATATGTTGGACACTTAATAAATGTTCTAACAAACTACACAAAAACTGTTCAAAAATTTTAGTCAGGGGTGTCTCAGGTAAGGGGCTCACGGGTAAAATGCGCCCCCAATTTTTTGCATGTCAGTATTTTCAAATTTAAACATCGGACTATGATAGATATGAGTTTTTCACCAAAAAAAAATGTACCCTTGATTTACTTCGATAAAATACTTCATTTTCGAGAAAAATCGATGTTAGAGTTTTATTACGTAATCTCAAGAATGGAAAAGGATTGCATGAATAGTAGTAGTAGAGTAGGCCATGAAAACAAACATTTGTTTACTGGAATTAATTTGACAGATTATTAAACACAACTTTCTATTTTTGATCGTAGAATCTACTGCTAAAATATTGCACACTAATTATGGAACACCCTGTATATGTAGTTCAGTGTATACATGTAAGTGATAAAGTGTGATTTCCGCGAAGTGCGCATCAAGTAGGTGTAAGTGGGTGGTGGGGGGCCATCGCCGTCCGAACATTTGTGAAGAGGACAGGTGAGTCTATAAGCTTTTTAAAGTAAACAATTTTTTTATAATTTTCTGTTCTTTGACCCCTTCTCAAATAGTACGCCTATGAAATCTTGTCCCCTGCACCCCTCACTTCCGTTACTCGTCTAAGTGCTGGATATGAATCACTGTTCATTTTTATGATACTCGGGTAGAGGCGTAAATCATAATCAGGTAGATCACACCAGCGATCTTCCAGTCGAATTTTGAACAAGTTTGAACCAGTCCAGTTTGAACGTAAAAAAAATACTAGTGATATTTTATTGCACTTTATGATGGATAAGGGTATGTAGAATAATATCAAAAAAAAAAACAACTCGAAAGGAGTGACCCTAAGTTGACAAATTGTAAATAAGTTGTAAAATTACATATTTTTTCACTTTTTTAAGCTAGACAACCTATCGGAAAATTAGTCATTTTATGTTGTAGGCAATCAAATTACCTACAATTTAATGTACCTAGAGTCATATTTCACCCATTTGTTTTCGAAAATTACGCATTATTACTGTAAAAAGCTATGGCTGTTGATAAAATTTATGGAAAAGACGGTCAGTCCAAAAACCAACATGTATGCCAAAGACCGATACGATTGGTCTTTTTAAATTGGTTTTAATTTTCCCGTCGAAGACAACCGCTAGTTCAACGGTTGTATTTTAACTTTTAATTTTTTCAAACAAGAGCAATTTGTCGCAACATTGCTGTTATAAACTGTCATTGAACAGAATTACTAAATCACTCTCTCATCACAACTTTACAATCTTCTCCAGAAAACACAGAAATAAATAAACACATCTGAAAGAGTTATGTTATAGTTATTTTCATATTACCTCATCGTACGTATGATAGCTAGACCAATCGAAGCTTCCCGCTCTAGATTCTGGCCTGACACCTTCGTTGTCGATGTGCTTTTGTACATTTTGCATCACCACACTGGAATTCATCTCTCTAGATTTGGCCAGATTTTCTATGTAATCAACCTGGTGGGGTGGTACCATAACATCAACTGGACCTCCTACTTTGACCACAGGGCTAAAAAAATTGTAATCAGAAAGATGCTGTGTGTCCTCCATCTGTTTGAGGATTTTGAGAGTCTCCACGTCATTAGGAATCAGTCTGTAGACTTTGTAATCATCATATCTGATTTTTTCGGCCAAGCAAAGGTTTACAGTCAAAGAAAGTAAAGCAAAAAGAAACTTCATTTTCTGAAACAGTAAAATAAGGATCAGATTCACAAGTCACATAAGATAGAGTACAGCATGTTACTGTTTAAAAGTGTATAAAAAAATGTGCAGGGTATCTCAAACTTGATAGTATGGGCCTACTGTGAGGATACAAAAAAATTAAATAAAATTTGGAACACGTAGTACTAAATGGGATGAGGTAAGCTCCATTTTCAATAGAAAGTATTATCTTTGGGATTTGACAGAAACGGCTAATGACGTCATCAATTATATTTTTTCCAGAAACACACCCAAATTTTTTTCCTCTTAAAAAGCTTACTTTCTTCTAATAAACTTTTATTAGAGAAATTTTTCTGTATTGCTTCCCGTTTAAATGTTACGAGCAATATAGTCCTAAAAAGTCTCAAAAGAAATACCACCTAAAAATCACATTAGCGGTAGAAAGATCAAGTAGTCGTTGGAAAATAATTGAGTGTTCGTTGTTTAAAGTGCATAAATGTCTCAAAATATTACTCAATACGAATGCTAAATGTATAACTTTTGTGCTTACAACATGTTTTCTCATTCAGAAAAAGTTGATATGTTGATAATTTACAGAGAGTCACAAAAAAATTCAAGAAGAGCTGTAGAGTTATATCAAGAAAGCTATCCAGAGCGCCTCATTCCTGATCATAGAACCTTTACAAGATTGGGAGCGACCTTGCGACGAAATGAAGATGCATTTTCTGTTCGGAAAAAACAAATAATTGACCGAAGGTTAAAAAACAATGTTAATACAGCTAGACTGTTACAGTATTTCGAACAAAATCCAGGAAATTCTATACGGTAGGCTAGCCGGGAATTGAATTTGGATATATCAGTCGTTCAACGAATTCTAAAGACCACAAAATTCACAATTTGGAGGATTTGCCTGAGCGTTACATTGAAAACAAACTTAATTTTATAGCTCAAATTATAGTTAATGTAGAGTCTGTTGATCAGAACCTTTTTCGGCACGTCCCAATGGATGGATGAAAGTCGGTTGGTCAGTAATGGTTTGCCAAACAGGCGCAACGAACTCTGCTGGTCCATATAAAAAAGAAAATTGTGAGGATATTGACAATTATCGGCAAATATCGGCCCTAAGCATTGTATCTAAACTATTAGAGAAAATTGTCTATAATAAATTATGGTACTATTCAGAAAAGGAGACATCATCTTGTCACTTATTGGAATATGTCTGTGGATGTCTAGATAATGGTAACTATGTGGTCTCAATTTTATTTGATCTATCAAAAGCATTTAACACGATTAACAAAAATGTATTAAAACAAAAATTAAAATACATGGGTATTCGAGGTAATATGCTATTATGGATAAGTTCCTACATGAGTAATAGATATCCGAGGGTCAAACTAGGAGAATCGATATCAGAACCACATCTATCCAATCTAGGAGTTCCGCAGGGGTCTTCGCTAAATTCTTTGCTATTCCTGCTTTACGTCAATGATCTACCTGATTATATTACAAATGACCATGTTTGCAGATGATACTACAATCACAGTTTCTGTCAGTACCCCCGAGGAACTTCGTAAGAAGATTGTAAATGTAATTAGCGAATTCAGTGCTTGGTGTGATCGTAATCAATTTATGTTAAATGAGGAGAAAAATTTAATAATTAACTTCGGTATACTGAGACTACTTCCAAGTCATTCCATTATACATAGCGCATTTACACTCTCAACAAACGTCAAGCTTCTAGGAACATATTTTGATTCTAAACTGACTTATGATGATCACATTGACCACGTAATATGTAAGTAAATGAATATAGCCTATTTTGCTTTGTTGCAACTAAAATCTTCTCTTGATGAAAGTTGTATGTTAAACGCATATTACGCTTTAGCATATTCATATCTGTCGTATAATATAATATGCTGGGGTCGTGGAAGAGAAATTAATCGTTTTTCTATAGCTCAAAAACGATTATTAAGGTTAATATATAGAGTACTGCCCACTGACAGTTGTAAACCTATTTTCAAAGAAAAAAAACTCTTCACTTTACCGTCGATATATACTTATATTGAAATCCATTACTTTTGCTAAAAGAAATGAACATCTTTTTAAGTCTTGCTCATATTACCATTCATACAACACTAGGCATGGGGCTTCATTATTAAGCATACCAAAACATCGCACCACTTTTTTTTAACGCTTCCCATATTACAATGCCATTGTTTTATTCAACAGACTGCCAAGCAATATTAAAACTATTACGTGCTATAGTAAATTTAAAAATAAAATAAAAGAATTTTTATTGAGTAATGCCTTTTATAGTGTATTAGAATATCTCAAATCTGAAAATAATAGTTGAGTGACTATAACAGAATTTCAGGCAATAGATACATATTGTCATTACTATTTTTGTGATAAAAGTATACATTGTACGTTTAATTTAGTTCCTTGTAAATGTGAAGTATTTTAACCTTTTCATAACGCAAGTTCAAATTTTAAATTTTTCTATTTGTGACGTGAATGTAGATTACTTTTAATGTGTATTTACAAATGTGACTTACCATGTATACATATCAATGTGTCCAAAATGGTGAAAAGAGATAAATAATAAATAAATTGGAAATCCGCACATTGTAAATCCAGTCCAATACCAAGGCCATTTTACAATACCTAAATGCATGGTGCGGCATCATCGGTAGACATTTAATTGGGGCCTATTTTTATGAACATACATTGAACAGCGTGAGTTACCTAAATTTCCTACAAGAAGAATTTCCTGCACTTCTAGAGAATGGGGCTCCACGCCACAAGGCCAAGATTGTGCAGCAATATTTAGATAACACTTTCCCAGAAAAATGGATTGGGTTTAATGGACCTATTCAGTGGCCCGGAAAGTCACCAGATCTAACACCCCTCGATTTTTTTAATGGGGGGGTGTTACCGCGCATGTGTCATGTAATGTATCTCTTTGTCCGACCGTGTGGTCAGTCGTTGTTGAGTTGTTGATTTGTTCAGTTGTTTGTTCAACGTAATATATGTTCTTTGAAAAAATATTGTGTATTTTTCTTTTGAATCAACAACAGGTATAAAGAAGACCAGCAGAAAAAAGACGAAGGAAACATTGGTCCATTCGAGCCAGCATGGTTCTTTATTTATGAATTTGAAGTGGAGACATCACATTCCAAGTTCCAAGTTGTGTTCTGGACAGCGCCGACAGTGGGTACAGCCGGCGAAGCTGCTCAAACAGGTGACGTCGTAATAAGCGGAGCAAGAAGTTTGGTATGTACAATAGGGTGAATAATAATTAATCCGATAACAGTTGCATTTGATATTTTAAAATATATTATTTTATTAATGATACGTATGTATATTGAAGATTTTTTTTAAATAAAATGTTAAAAACCATTTACTTTTTTAATTATTATTCGCAACATTCAATACCTACATATTTAAAGTTTTTTCCTTTACTAGGGATATTCATACAGGGCGGCCCAATAGTGATAATATTACTCATATGCCATACGGATAGAAAATAATTTTAGGCGCCATAAGGGGGACGTTTTAAAAATGTTATGAAGTATGCGGGGTGTTTCCGAAGGCCGCGTCAAACATGGTTTTTAAACGCAATAACCCGATTTTTTATATTTCATATTTTAATCATGATAATGAAATAATGATGAAACAGTAAACAATCTTCATTTTGATTCTGAGTTTTATATACAAAATCTTTCAGACAAAACAACTAATGTTTTCCAGAATGAATCAAACATATACCTAAATTGCAAATGAAAATATAAAATTTATTAATAATTTATACACTATAATCGTGAAAGGTAAAGATGATTTACTTAAAAAAGAAACAATTTTGTTTATATTATACCATTTTGTAATAATAATTGTGTATTACAATTATATAGACCAAATATAAATTCACTCATCATATATCTCTCTAACTATAAAACTAATATTAAAAATAATAAACGTAATTGTGCTTGGTG